CAAAAGTGATCAAGCTTCAGATATGCTCAAAAACCGTCTCTCTCTAAATCAGTCAGTAAGACGTTCTTTCCAGCAAAATTACATATGACGTTCACTAGCCGCAAGTTGTTCTCTACTTCTGTAAAAATAAGCTCCCCGTCTGGTCGCCTTTATGTGCATCTAGCAGTTCACCTGCTCTTGTGTAGCAAGGTATGTTGGCCGTAACCAGAGAACACTTTTCACACGGATATAAGGGCATATTCCAGTATGGTTTTACAAGGGAGAAAGAAAGTGTGTGCGAAGCTCTATTCTAGAACTCTTGATCGACCCCTGTCACTCTACCAACCCTGACCATGATTTCAAGATCATATATAGAAGCCATGCTAACTTCCCGCATTTTCTTTTTTATAAACTTTTAAAGACAGTGGAAGCATTGGTCATTCGTGAATTTAAGCCAGACACACATTTGTGAACAAAAGAATTATGTACAATCCCTACTTCTACCTCGGCCGTAGAAGGATAGACATTTATTTATTTTGTTTATTTAGTTATTCTATGTACTTTTCCTTTATTACTACGGTTATTGTTTTTATTACTATTCTCACTGTGAATCATTTCCACTCGACCTACTTGTCATTCTAAACCCAAAATTATTAAATTTTTATTTTTACAACATATTGAATTCTATTTCATCAGATTTCACACCATGTTATGTAATATTTTATATTCGTCTACTAATCCTATAATTATGCACCCATTTCCAACAACTACACACCTTATGTATAATTCTATATATGACATTAATTATTTGCCGATTGACAATAAAATATGATTATAATCACAAATATTTTAATTTCAATTCATACTAGTATTATTTCATGTATTCACAGCTTTGATCTAATTCCCTCACCGGACACAATTTCCCAAAAAAATAACCATATTGCATACGATTGTACAGCTTGATAATAATTCGTTGTCAGCTCATGGTGAAATCCTCCATGCAATCAAAAAAAATCCCTACAAAACCAATACTTGAAAATTAATCTGATGCTCACTAGTGACTGGTCCTATTCAGGCAGTTGACCTGGGGTTCTAGTGGGAAGCCGTGACCAGTAGGGTACAGCAGGTTGAAGATGAGGCAGTAACTCATCGAAGAAGACATTGCGAAGTGGTTGCACTATGTGGTGAATTGGCAGAAGTAAGAAATCAAGGATCATTAGATCGGGTCCCAGTGGCTCAATGGTCTACGAGCTCGCCTTGTAACCATAAGGTCCTGGATTCGAATCCCGGTCGGTGCGTACAGCTGAAGAGTCCCAAACTAGGACGAAACAGCTGTCCAGTACTCCCAGCTGGTTTTCCAGTGGTTCTCCAAGTGATGTCAGTCAGCTCATGGTGAAATCCTCCATGCAATCAAAAAAAATCCCTATAAAACCAATACTTGAAAATAAATTCGTTGTTGAAAAGAGTCCCTTCGCTGAATATGTTGTGTTCTTAATGCTAACACAATGGGAATTATTAAATATTATCTCTAAGCAATGTCAGCTCATGATGAAATCCTCCACCAAATAATAATAGTAATCATCATGTAGATAGCTTCTTCCGTTCAAAAAACAATCACCTTCGCCCCCCGCCAACATGCCTCTCTACTAAAATGTATGCACACGCAAACATACTCATCCATGCATTGTCAACATTTCAAAATTAAAAACACGGAGAATATTAATCAATAACCATTATAATATTAATGATATTAGTAATAATAACAATAATAATAAGAGTAATAATAATATTAAATGCGTGATACTACTACTACCTTCTTCTTCAGTACGCACACACACATACATACATACTGGCAACACAATACTCCATAAAACGAGTAGATGAAAAGAAAAAAACAATTTGAACAGTTATTCTCATTCAACAATTAGATAACAAGAACAGCAACAACCAAAGGACTGGGGAGGAACAACTTCCACGACTTCATCTTATACACACACACATCCGTATACACAGCGGGTGGGAGGAGGGGTACATTAAATCTGTAAGATTAATAAGTAATTACTACTATTATTATTCACATACTACTATCAACAGTGATAATAAGTATAATAAGTATAGATGTTATCTGTGAGATGTGAAATGATCTGCTAACGAAGAAAACAGACTAACAACGAGAATTGTGAGGGATGTATTCAGTTCCTAGCTATATGACTAGTTTACGTCTAATCATTATTATTAGTATTATTATTTCACATAATCTCGTCACCATCATCTTCACGTTTCACATTACACTGAACAAGCGCACATTGCATCTTGTATAGAGAATATATCAGCATTATATAATATAATATAGATAAATGGTAGACGTAGTTTGTTGGCAGACATGCACACACACACACACAAACAGACACACGTCCAGCCGTTGGTTTGTACATTGAACGGGGGAAACACCGAGAGGATACGAGAGCGCGCAGACGCGCGCACACACACACAGAGATACGAAATACGTATATATGCATATATCTTTAGAATTCTTTCTATCTTACATATAGCCATTATTGAGCATAAAATCTGAGGATTGAGGCAGGGTATTTGATGATGATGATGACGATATTTTACGAGGTACAATCGGTGGAGGCGGAGCTGGTTGTTTCTGTTTGGCTTGTTGTTGTACTTGTCGTCCTTCTCCTCCTAGAGGAGTATTCATATTCATCGTCGACAATTTCGAGACAGCAACATCAAGAATAGAATTATCTTCGACAATCTCTTCACTGTCATCTATACTACTATATGAGCAACACCCGTTATTATTATTATTATTGTTCATATTCTCCTCACCATTTGTCAGTAGACAGTTATCATCTGTTATCATGAATGATGTTGAATACGTTGATCGATTAATATTATTGATTGTTTGATGTCCAATTTGTATAACAGGATTCAAGGTAGTATAATAATACTGTGGTCTAGCACGATTTAATATTTTAATAAATTCTAAACTTTTAGCTCGCATTCTTCGATGAATATAACCTTTTGAACATTTGATATGATAGTGTAAATAATTACGTATTGTATGCATAAGATTGATTGTACGCGGTGTAGCTTGTGGTGTTAAATGCCGAGGGAATAGAACTGTATGGTAGAGTAAAAAAAGGCAAAGCAAAACAAATTAATGCGAAGGAAAGTAGAATTTGGACAGTGTGTTGTAAAATCTAATTTTCCATATTAATGAATTTGGTCACGGATTAATGTCACTTAGAGGATCAGACTGAAAGCCAACAAGGAGTACTGGACAGTTGTTTCGTCCTGGTTTGAGACTCTTTGGCAGAACACACCCAGCTAGGATTCGAGCATAGAACCGTCGGGTAACAAGTCAAGGTGGTAGACCATCTACAGTCACTCGGGACCGATACAACACTGGCCGAAGAATTTCCAACTTCTACTAGGTTGTGATTTTAACGCAACCACAAACCAGTGTCATTAGTGAGTATTTGTCGTGATCATTGATGTTCACCAGGTGGTGTGTGTGAGGGTAAATACTCGAGGATGACATTAACCAGTAGTTATGCTAAACACGCTGATGCGTAGAAATTAGAATTCATAAACCACTGAGTCATGTCTCAGTGGATGAGCTTGCTGCGCAAACCGAAGGTTTCTATCTAGGGTTCGAACCCTGATTGTTGTGTACCACTGAAGAGTCCGAGACCAGGATTAAACAGCTGTCCAGTACTCCCTGGTTTGAAATGGTGATCCATGAATTCTAACTTCCTCCAATTCATGAATTTAACGAACCACCAACATCAAAGTCACCGGCGGCAAGTAATTGTCTTCACTCCTGATCGAGTGGACCCCGCTGATCACTGGTGAATACTGTCTATGTGTCTCAAACTGGGACTCTCTGTTATTTTCCAATGGTTACCTTACTGAAATTAATCCGTAGTCATTCTTGAAACAATTCAATTTAGACTTTCCCATAAATTGATCGGACAGAAGCGCTTGGTTTCAGCTTGAAATGTCGGCTCCTTGTACAAATGCTTCGACGATGTCTGGTCATGTAACTTGAAGTAAATCGATGGGTGGAGATTAGCATTGGAATCCAGGATGTGCACTTAATCCTATTTCGAACTCGTTAGCTGGATGTACCTGTACTCCTCAGTGAGTGATAGCGTTCCGACTGCAAACTAACTCTTGAAAACTCATAACCAGTTAAAAGTTATCAAAACGAGAGTTACGTTGAGGGTAGAAGTCATTTATTTAATTGTACACTAATTGTGCTCTGCGAAATTGTCTCATATAGTCAAATAATTACGGGAGTTGTATCCTGCCTCGAAAAACATAATAAATATTAATTCGAACAATTTGCATTCTAGAAAGGGGAGGGGGCAGTTAATTACGTAGAATACACTCACAATGATAATGATATATACTTGTTTGGAGTCAAGCTTATCAGTGATACCGAGACTCGAATCACTTCAAGTCTCTAATAGAAACGGTGGCGACACAATGACTTAGGCAATTAACTTTCAACCAGTGGATTCTGAGTTCGAATCCCTGCCCCGTCTACTTCATCCTGGGAAAACTAGGTAGCATGTTTAGCTTTCATACAATAAGTGTGGCTTAAAGTCTGAGACAACACCTATTCCGGGAACTAAGTACCCCTAATTCTCGTCATCTGGAGTAACTAGCCGTCCGATGTATGTTTCCATCACTTCGATCAGGCTCTAGAGGCAAGTAACATGAGTGGTACACACCAAATAGTCATCTCAATCAATCACTAGTAGTATGTCCTTTCACACACTTATGCCTGCTTTCTCGATTAACATTGATGCCATCAAAGAAGATCACATATTGTGGTGATCCGAAATAATTTTACTATACAAAAGGTTTTCCCGACCGAAAGCTGCTATCTTAACGTGGTGGTCGGGCTTGAACACCGCAATGACCTAATCAAGCTATACTGGATGGGACTTGATAGGATCCCACATATTTTGGTATTGACTGTTTAATCTTGTATATATGGTATATTATCATTCTCACACATTTTGGTAGTGACTGTTTAATCTTGTATATATGGTATATTATCATTCTCACACATTTTGGTAGTGACTGTTAATCTTGTATATATGGTATATTATCATTCCCACACATTTTGTTATTGACTGTCAATCTCGCACATATGGTATATTATCATCTCTCACGCACTTTGTTATTGGCTATTAAGATAAATTATTTCAAATGCTGTTAGCTGTCCATATTGTTGTAAAATGTATAAATACCATGGCTTTCTTTGTCGTTGTTGCACTTCAATACACAGTCACAGTCCAGCCTTTGTCTTTTGATATTTGCGTGCTTGACTAAATCGGAAGGTACGACGAGCAGATAGGCAGATTAGTTCAGGCGCAGACAGAGCAAGGTGAAAACGTCTTCCTTCAATACCCTACCGTTATAACAGGATTTATGTCTCTTGAGGTCCTAAAATGCCAGAGTGGTTGTTTGGATAGCGGTTAGACAAAAAGTAGCTACCCAATCCAATACTAAGATACAAACAAACTCACAAAATATCATGCTGGATCGATCGGGGCCCGGATTAACAACGAATGAGCTTCCTGCTGCCGTGTCACAGGGCAGAAGTGATAAATATGCTACTGAGACACACCAAACAGAACACTGTGCGTCCGTGGCACAGTGGTTAGGATCCTCGCCTACAATGCACATGGTCCAGGGTTCGAGCCCTCGCCGACGCACACCTGATATCTATGGTCGGCCTGCGAATTTTGGGCTACCGATATCCACGCTGAAAATTCCACACTTGTACCAAAAATACGGTGTGGAATCAAGCTGTAATCAAAAATAAAATAAATAAAAAACAGGCCGTGTGTGACCGGCCCCAAGCAGTTATCCCCTGAGCTCTACGATCAAGCAACGCTAACCCTCTTTCTGTTTCAGGTACCCGAAAATTCAATCAACTTCCACGGTGGTATGGGCAGCCGCGAAATGACAACCACCCACCCGCCTCCAAAAGTACACGAAGGCCTCCTGAGCATCATTCTCAACTAGGTCAGTCTTGCCTTTTTACAGGGTTTACTACTAGCTTAGTGAGTGAGGTTTAAGAGTGGGTCTGTGGTCAACGATCGAACCCTGTGCCACACATGTGGTGTAGCTGGCGGATGTCCTACCGATCAACAACAATCCACGTGCACACATATGGTGGCTTATTTGTAGGGAAAGAAAAGTCAAAAAAAAAAAACAGACAGATAGACACACAGAAAAGAAAAGCGAAAACAAAAAATGACGACTAATCAGTTATTTTTACACAGTAGAAAGACTAACGGCATTGTGTTTTTTGTTTTTTCTTTAATTGCTTATTTTGAAAGCCACTAGTAAAATAATAATGATTTGACGAAAATAAATAGCATACATCACGTGTCAATAGAATGACATGAAAAACATTTATGCTATATATATATATATATACAATGTATTCAATGTGTACTTTAAAAGTTTGCGTACATTAGAGAGAATTAGTCATTGCATACATAGATATATATGTTACTCATCGATTAGATATGAGATACCAGTAAACAGAAAAGTCACTATAACGCGTGTAGACTAATGTAATTTGCATAGAAGTGCACCACTTCAAATAGCCAAACACTGTAGTGTAGCACACAATAGAGAGGCGAAGAGAACTTCAAAAGTACTGTAATATGCAGAAATGTTAGGCAGAAGGTATTGTAACAAAGAGAAACAGTGGGATTTCATGGATATAAGGGAAGATTATAAAAGAATGAATGCATCTGCACTCCTATTGATGAGAAGGATTTCCAGCCATATCACCAATTGTCTCCAGCCTTCGTTGGTTGACAGAAACTCGACAACTCCAACAGTCTACACTTCCGTATATGGCTCAAAGTAACTATTAAGGAATTCGTCGATCGATACCATATTTTGGTTTGACCATCACTAATTCTTTCCCAACCTGATTCCTATGTCCGCTATCATTGTTCACTGAAGAAGCCAATGCATGGGAATGCGCGTCCTATCCATCTCAATAGATTAAGCTTCAAAACTTCATCAATTGACATACTTGTCATGGCTAAAACTCGACACCAAACCTTAATATTACTCATTATATTATATCAAATAACACAGGGGATGGAGCGCGAACATCTGTAGTCAAAGAGATGTAAGCTTTTCGTATCTTCAACTTTCAGTGGCGGCCATGTCTTACAGATATAAAGAAGGAAAGAGCGAACTGATGCTTAGTACGCCAGCCGGATATCATGTCTACAGTACAAAATGACGTACGGTGGCAAATTTTAACTAAGATTTTTGTATCCATGCTAGAATTTCATCAGTAATCAGTTTATTCGGGCAGATACAACCTGCCAAACGGGTTAACTGGTCAACACGCTTCACCACTTCACTCATTATCTTGAAGGTAGGCGCGCCGATGCAGTTCAGTCCTGCAATATCATCATCTTGTATTCGACGGGAGTCAATAGCATGCCAAACACTCGATGATTTCTGCTCAATGTATTCAAAAGACTCTGCATATTATCAGTATCTTCACCAGGTGGGTCGCAGTGCCCAAAACACAGGTGTACATGACTTTCTATCGAATGCTTCCAACCAATTCTCTGATACATTTTACTAATATATGTTTCACTCTTCATATATCACCTTAATTTCAGATAATCATATACAATCCATGGGTTAATCCATCAATTGACAAGGGATTCAAACCCTGTGTTCTCCCTACTGAAATGTTAAGTGTATGAACAGATAGATACAGTTGTTCGGATAGCAAAAAACAACACGTCGATGCTATACAATATTCATCTATTAATTAGACTTCACCTACCTGGGAAGCATCGTCTCAACTACAGGCGGAACTGACGAGGACATCAAAGCCAGAATCGGAAAAGCAAGACAAGCTTTCATTACTCTCAAATCTGTGTGGAGGTCAACAGCACTCAGCATCAAAAATAAGATCCGGATTTTCAACTCCAATATGAAGTCAGTGCTACTATACGGATCAGAGACTTGGCCAACGTGTCATAAAGAGCATCTCAAACAAACTTCAAACCTTCATTAACAACTGTCTCCGCTCAATACTCAAGATCAGATGG